CCGCGCCAGCCGCGTGTCTACGCACCGGAAAGCCAATAGTGTGCTCCCCCACCATGTCAGCAGGCAGGCAGCGGTGTGCAGTGCCGGCGGCCGGACTGGGCTGAAGGCGGCGCCATCATGGAGACCCTGGTGGCCAACGTGGACGACATGGTGTTCGACATCGAGGTGACGCTGCGGGAGCAGCTGGGCGCCCAGTCGCTGCCATTCGCCGGCATGGACAGTGAGTACTGACTCGGCGGGGTCCTCTCTTTGACGCGAGTACCGACGCGGCCGAGTCCCGCGTGGACAGTGAGTACCGAGTCGCTCGTGTTTATGGCGCGTACAGCGAGTACTGGTCAGCAAAGTCTCGAGGCAGAGGCTCGGCGTAGTCAGTGGTTACCATCTGAACAGTGTTTGGACAGTTGATGTTGTGCAGTGGATATGGGCGATTAATCTCCAGTGCGTTGCTGCGTTGGGTCATGTGGCACGAGTCGTTTCAGTCCTGGCAGTATTGTATCAACTTTGAACATTGTCTTAATCTAGCGCACTGGTGCATCCTCCGTCCATTCAACCAGACGTGCTTGAAATTAGTGAACAGCCTCTGCTGGTGTTTGGTGCTCAACTGCTCGTAAGGAGCAGTGCTTTTGCAGCGTTTCCCCCAACTGGACAGCGTTCCCAACAGCGGGCCCGCTCGCTGCGGCCAACGCGCCGTGGGTGGGTCCGGCCAGCCGCGGCCCACTCGCTAACACGGCGCCGTCCGCCGCGCCGCCAGAGTCCATGTCGGGTGTGTGCAACTTCTTCGCCAAGGGTCGGTGCACGCGCGGAGACCTGTGCCCGTTCCGACACCTGCGCGGCGACCGCTCCATCGTCTGCAAACACTGGCTGCGCGGACTCTGCAAGAAGGGGGACTCGTGCGAGTTCCTGCACGAGTACGACATGACCAAGATGCCCGAGTGCTACTTCTACGCCAAGTTCAGTGAGTAGTGTCGAGAGTCGTCCCGCGGTGGGCGCCTCTGCGCTGCGGCGTTGAGAAGGGTTATCGGCGAGGGTGGACTCTTCCGCCTGTGGAATCTCGGTGGGACTCCTGCAGATGCTTATGATAAGTGCTTGTTTGTGGTGCTGATGGACAAATGGCCATGCGTTGTGGTTTATCAATGCTATTTGTAGCATAGAATGCATCGTAATGAGGGTTTGATTTCATGAGACAGGATTTTTAGCATGAAAACAAAGCTTATTGGAATGTGGCACTGTGTGTAGCACCCAGCTGCTCTTCAGTTTTCATTATGGCGTCACAATAATAGGATGTTGATAGTCACAGATCTCTTAGTTTGATTAGTGGGGCTTACAACTGCGCCATTTGTACCCTTTTTAGTATTTGTTTGATTTTTGTTTAGTAAATGAATGAGTGTTGGTACATTAGACGTACACCACGGCCAGTATGATGTTCCCTCCTCCTCTGTGACTGAGCGATGTTGGTGGCACCAGATGTGTGCCACTTAGGGCAACACTGAGGCACCTACCGCCTGGCACCACCGTTTCGTATGGCTGATCGGCGCGGCCGCCTTCCAGACGCGCGGCTCTTCTCTCCCCCCCCCCCCCCCTCCCGCTTCCCCAGCCGGCGCCACGGAGCCGCGCCGGTCGTCTGACCCCACCACTGACCGGCACTCTCCGTCGGACGCGTGCCACAACGAGTGTTCGTTCTCCCCCCCCCCCCTCCCGCTTCCCCAACCGGCGCCACGGAGCCGCGCCGGTCGTCTGACCCCACCCTGACCGGCCCTCTCCGTCGGACGCGTGCCACAACGAGTGTTCGTTCTCTCCCCCCCCCCCCCCCCTTCCCGCTTCCCCAACCGGCGCCAACGGAAGCCGCGCCGGTCGTCTGACCCCACCACTGACCGGCCCTCTCCGTCGGACGTGTGCCACAACGAGTGTTCGTTCTCCCCCCCCCCTCCCGCTTCCCCAACCGGCGCCACGGAGCCGCGCCGGTCGTCTGACCCCACCACTGACCGGCCCTCCCCGCCAGACGCCTGCCACAACAAGGAGTGTCCGTTCCTGCACATTGACCCGGAGACCAAGCAGCGCGACTGCCCGTGGTACGACCGCGGCTTCTGCCGGCACGGGCCGCTCTGCCGCAACCGGCACGTGCGGCGCGTGCTCTGCCTCAGCTACCTGGCCGGCTTCTGCCCGGCCGGCGCCGGCTGCCGCCTCATACAGTGAGTGGCTGTCGACGGCGCGCCGTCCGCTGGCGCCGCCGGTGGCTGCGCCGGTGCCAGGGTGGCGGCGGCGGACTTAAGCGGCCCGCACGTCACCGCTGCGGCCAGTGCACCTGCTCGGGTCCGCTATTGTCGTGGGGTTTCCGTAGAGGGTGGTCTTGTTCCATAGTAGGGTTTCCGTAGAGGGTGGTCTTGTTCCGTAGGGTTTTGTGGGGTTTGTGCTAGGTTCACCTGTCTGCATGCCTTCGGTGGACCTGGACCCTCGGTATCAGCCTTTAACGATCTGTCGGTGGCGATGTATGTATAGGATGACCTCATAAAGTCGGGACGTATCGTTCGATCTCACAGTCGTTTTGGGAGCCGTCGCTCCTGGTTCGGCCTCTGAGAAAGTTTGTTTCGGAGAATGTGTGAGGGTGCCACCATTGAGCGATTCTCTACCATCACTGTCCCTGCCCAGTGCTACCGTCCCCGGCAGTGATCTTTCCCCCCGTCCTTTTATGGCATGCAGGACGACGCGCGTTGGTCGGCGGCGTCACGCTTTCATCTCCCGTTCGCTATCCCTTGCCTCCTTACGCAGGCACGTGCATTGCTTTTGTTGGAGTGTCGCACGTCGCGCCTCGAGAACAATCCCAATCCCACCGCAATCGCAATCCCTCAATCCCATCTCGTGCGACCGAGCATTGTTGCGTCTTCGTAGCTCCGCTGATGCACAGCCGGAATGTCTATGGCGGACGGTGTCGGCGGGCCCCTTACCGTCTCGTGTTTGCTGGAGGCGCCGGCGGACCCGACCCGCCGTCACGTGACCCGGCTCAACTCGCCGACAGCTCGCCAGCTCACGTGACCCGGCTGCTGCTGCTCGTAGCCCGTGGCCCGCCGTCAAGTGGCCTGGTCCGCTGCTGCACGTGGCCCGTTGTCCGCTATCACGTGATTCGGTCCGCCGCTGTACGTTGCGTGTGGCCCGCCGTCACGTGACCCGATCCGCTGCTGCATGTGACCCGTATCCCGCCGTCACGTGACCCGGTCCGCTGCTCCATGTGGCCCGTGACCCGGTCCGCTGCCGCCCCCGCCTCGCCCGGGGCTCACGGGGCCTGCTGACGCTGCCATTCTGCGCAGTCCGCGGTTCGAGCTGCCGCAGAGCACCGAGGAGGGCAAGCCCGGCTCCAAGGGCAAGTCCAACATCACCTGCCACTACTGCGGCGAGGTGGGCCACAAGGTCGTCAACTGCTTCAAAATGTCGCCCGACAAGCGGGAGGCGCAGTTGCGCCAGGCCTCGGAGAAGTATGAGGTCAGTCACGTGGCCCGCGCCGGGGGCAAGTCACTGGAGGCTACCGGCTTGGGCGTCGTGAGTGTAACGTTGAGGTCCTGGGTTCGAAGCTCATCGCGGACAACTTTCTTTGGTCGTGCTTTACCAATGTCTCGTATAGCAATGGCCGGCGACATAACTTGCAGTCTGCGTGGCTCGGCATGCAGTGACGGCAGGGCCGCCCGCTAGCTATGGGTGCCTCTGCATCGACTCTACCTGACCTGACCTTACCTAACCTGTGCCCGGCGGCAGGCGGCGGCCGCCCGGTACATCGGCGGTGGCTCGCACGGTCGCCACGACACGGACCGCATCACGTGTTACAAGGTGAGGGTGCGCGGCGGGGGGCCCGGCCTGTCAGGGCGGTGGCCGCCGACACTGTCAGCACGAGCGGCTCAGCCAGCTGCGTGAGAGCGCATAAACTGGTACCAATATCCAGCCATTTGCAGGTCTGTTTGTGGGCTGTTTGCAATTGATTTTTTTTTCGTGGCGATGTCCCATGTTAATTTTTGACGCATACTGGATGAAAAGAGCCGGATTCTCACGGCTGGCTACGTTTCGTAATTTAGCGCGTCTTGTGAAAAGTGGCGCCTCACTCGTGTTTTAAGAAGCTTAAGTACGCTGTGGCGCCGTTTTGTCACATGCCTTGCATGCATGCCACCAAAGATCAAGTTTTACCGACATTTCGAGCATATCAAATACGTACGTGTCTATGTGATACGCGCACAAATGCTGGGAGCCACCGCCAAGCGTCGGGACAGTCGTTTAATATAAAATTATATATATGTAAATATATATAATATAAAAATAATAAAGAATTTAATATAATAATAAAAACTTCGCCGTAGCCACGTCGTTCAATCCCGCCACATCTCGCCGCCGTCTGCGGGCGGCCAGTGCTCTAGTCCGAGCCCGCTGTGACCGACTGCGGGCCGCGGTGTGTTCACAGTGCGGCGAGAAGGGCCACTTCGCCAACCGCTGCACGCACGGCGCCTACTCGTTCCTCAGCTCGGCGCCGCCGGCGCCCGCCCAGGCGCCGGGCGCCACGTGAGCCGGACACGCGGCGGCAGGGCCGGGCACGTGGCGCCGGCGCCGCCGGCAGTTGGCCCGGCGTCGCCTGCGTCGTCCGAGGCCACCCGGCCGGCGGCGCCCACCGCCAACGCGTGCGCGAGACTGGAGGCCGTGGGGTCCCGCGGTCGCACAGCCCCGCTCTGCGATCGGTGCGCTCGTGGAGAGGGAGGCCGCGGAAGACGGCGCCGCCTGTCGTCTCTCCCCCGGTGCACTGATTACGATGATGATGATGATGGTGATGACTGATATTGGACCCGGGCGGGCGCATGGAACAGGGGACAGTAGAGGACTGCGCCACCGGGTGGTCTGGACGGTGCTCGCCTGTGAGACGCGTCTGCACGGTGACTGCGGTAGCCCCGCCCCGTGTTATGTTCCAGGGGAAGCTCGTCGAGTGTCTGTCGCATGTCACGTGCAACCGCCATGTGTTTCAATTGTATATTTTGTACAATACAGCCTAGGTACGCTCGAAGTTTGAATTATGGCTTTATATAGGAGAAATGAGGACGACATGACAATCAGTGCGAAATGAGTCAAAGCATACGTACAAAAGTGTCCATGGGGCGACATAACCAAGCTCGGCCGCTGCGGTGGGCGCCCTCGCGACGAACGGCCCTCCACGCGCCGGCCGTGCCCCGGCTCGTCGCCGCGCTAAACCTCCAGCTACCGTGTCGCCGCCCGTCTAAATCAATCAGAACATGATACTGAACGCGACCGCAGCTGCGACCAAATAGCACTAAAAACACTGTAAATGCCAGCGGCGGCGGGGGCGACCCGCTCCCGGCGGCCGTCGGGGCGTGGCCGGCCGCCGGCCGCTGGCGGTGGGAGCCCGCGGCCGCCCCGCGCGCGCGCGCCATCACACGCTGGTCCGCCGGCGGCGCCGGCACGCCGCCGTCGCAAAAATACCGGCCCCCGACGCCGCACGCGCGCCATTCGCTCACAGCTCGGCGGCGGCCGCCGCGCGCCCGACCGCGCCCTGCGGACGGTCCATCACACCTTCTTGAAGCTGGCCATGAAGCGGGCCTGGGCCGGCGCCACGCGCGCGCGCAGCTTTTGCACGAGGTTCTCGATTTTGAGGCTGGGCCCGACCTTCCAGCACGCCAGCTCCAGCACCTGATGCTTGGTGAGGTCGAGCAGGCGGGCGCCGTCGACGCCCGCCTGCTGGAAGCTGTCGCAGTAGGCGGCGCACTCGTTGACGCGCAGGAACTGGCCGACGTCGGCCACGGACCAGGCGGCCGGGTCCAGCTGCCCGGCCGCCGGCGCCGCCGCGCCCGGCCCCGACGCCGCGTCCACGAGGCGCGGAATGAGCGCAGTCGGCGGCGCGTCCGCGTCAGCCGCCGGCGTCGGCGCCGGCGCCGGAGCCAGCGCCGGCGCCAGCTGCTCCGGCTGCTGCTGCTGCGGGGGTGGCTGCGCCGGCGCCGGCGCCGGCGGTGGCGGCGGCGGCGACAACTCCGGCACCAGCGCCGCCAGCGACTCGTCAGCGGCGGCGGCGGCGGCGGGACGCCGGCCGGGCGGCCGCGGCCGACGGCCCACCATCTTGCGTCCGGCGCGGCGGCGTCCGGCGCGCCGGCCGGCCGGCCGCTCGCCAGCGCGCGGCGGCTCCAGCTTGTAGCCAACCAGCCGGCACCAGCCGACCGGGAAGATGTCAGGACTGGCGGCGTCCACCCACTGGTCGAACTGCTCCTCCCAGCCGGTAAAGTGCACGCGCAGCAGGCGTCCGACCACGGCCGCCACCGTCGCCACACACACCAGCTGCGGGTCCATCAGATCCACCGCCTCCAGCCGCTGGCCCGGCTGAAAGCCGTGCGATAGCGGCGGCCGCTGGAACAGATGCGGCGGCGCCGGCTGAGCGCCCGGCTCGGCCGCCAGGTACGCCTCCCAGGTGAACGTGTCGGCCGTGTAGCCGTGCGGCGGCGTCAGCGGCACGCCCACCGTCCGGCAGAAGCGCGGCGGGAAGATGTATGGCGAGCTGACGTGGTAGCAGAACCAGTCGCCGCCCGGCTGGCCCGGCTCGGTCGGCAGCGTCTCCAGCCGCACCATCAGGTAGCCGCCGCCCAGCACCTGCTTGACGGTGGCGACGCCGATGCTGCTCAGGTTGAGCGGGTCCAGCGCCTCCAGCTTCATGCCCACCTGGTGACGGGAGAGCCGCCAGGGCGGATGTCAGCCGCCGCGTCCGCACGGGCCGCTGCAGCCAAGGGGTGGAGCACAGCTGATGGACACTCGGCACAGCTGGCAGACACAGCCAACAGACACCCACCATAGCGGCAGACACAGCTGATGGACACCCACCACAGCGGCAGACACAGCTGATGGACACCCATTACAGCGACATACACAGCCAACAGACACCCAGCACAGTTGGCAGACAGCCAACAGACAGTGGCAGATACAGCCTGCAGACACGCAGCACAGTGGCAGACACAGCCAACAGACACCCAGCATAGCAGCAGACAAGCCTTCAGACCCCCAACACGGCGGCAGACAGTCTGCAGGCACCAAGCACGGCGGCAGACACAGCCTGCAGACAACCAGCACAACAGCAGACAGTCTACACACACCCAGCACGGCGACAGACAGCCAACAGACACCTAGCACGGCAGCAGACAGTCTGCAGAGACCCAGTAGAGCGGCAGACATAGCCTGCAGGCACCCAGCACAGTGGCAGACGCAGCCACAGACCTACAGTCAACAGACACAGGACACGGCAGCGGACACACAGCCGCCCACAAGGGGCGTCAGACATGTTATATCAGCACCAGCGACGTCTACACAGGAACACTTCGGCACCCGAGAGGGCTCCGGCGGCGGCGGCGGCCGCGGCAGCACCGAAACGGCCGCGACGAGCAGCCGCGTCACGAGCAGCCGCGTCACGAGAAGCTCCATCACGAGCACCCACGTCACGAGCCACAGCATCACACCAGAGCCGTCACGATGATGGCATTTTGATTTTCGAGCGCGTCGATTGCGGCGGTCATTTAACGCTCACTCACGGGCGTCATTTAACGCTCACTCACGGGCGTCAAATGACCGCTGCAGTCACTCGCTCACACATCTCTCATGTATTCAGCACGCGCGAGTGCTGCACGCGAAACGCGCTGATTCACCAGGCCTGAGTTTGCCACATGAGAACTCGCGCCATACAGCATTAAACGGGTGAATAGATCATCTATAAATTTGGTTTTTCCGTTTGGTTCGAAGTCCATTTGGTTCGTGAAATCTAAAACCACCTTGGCTGAACAGGTCAGATTCTCGCAAACGGGAGATCATAGAGACTGGCTCGCAAAGCGTAGGAGCCAGAGCAGTGCCTGTGTTCAGCTCCTACGTGCCGACACTGAACGAGAACACAGTTGACAGTCAGTAATCACAGCGACGGAGCAGAGCCGTCCGCACTCTGGCGGCTCTGAACCAGCAGAGCCTCCCGCACTCTGGCGGCTCTGAACCAGCAGAGCTGCCCGCACTCCACTCTGGCGGTTCTGAACCTGCAGAACCGCCCGCACTCGGGCGACCCTAAACCTTCCGAGTCACCCACACTCTGGCGGCTCTGAACCTACAGAGCCTCCCGCACTCTGGCGGCTCTGAACCTACAGAGCCGTCCGCACTCCACTCTGGCGGTTCTGAACCAGCAGAGCCGCCCGCACTCTGGCGGCTCTGAACCAGCAGAGCCGCCCGCACTCTGGCGGCTCTGAACCAGCAGAGCCGCCCGCACTCTGGCGGCTCTGAACCAGCAGAGCCTCCCGCACTCTGGCGGCTCTGAACCAGCAGAGCTGCCCGCACTCCACTCTGGCGGTTCTGAACCTGCAGAACCGCCCGCACTCGGGCGACCCTAAACCTTCCGAGTCACCCACACTCTGGCGGCTCTGAACCTGCAGAGCCGCCTGCACTCTGGGCGGCTCTGCGGGTCCGGCCCTGGTTAACAGTGGTGGGTTCACCAGGAAAAACTACAGCGTACGCCATTCTACACTTTGCACATCGCAAGCCACCGATGAATGCCAAACGTCGGTGAAACCAAGTAGCCCATCCCATCTGGCAACTCCAAAGTCTCCTACGTCCCAGTTTTCGCCGTGCCGCCGGCGGCAGCGCAGGCGGCGGCCGGGCGAGGCTGGCTGAAGACTGACCGTGAAGCCCTGCTGCGGGGCGGCCGGCAGCGGCGGCTGCCAGTCCTCGGTGACGTCGGTGGCCAGGTACTTGCCCGTCTGGCAGCGCTCCAGGTAGTCGGCCGGCGCCGCGATCTGGTGACCGACCGCCAGCGCCCAGCCCACCGGGTGCACCTGCGGCGCGGACGCACGCGCGGCGGTCACACTCACGCACGCGCACGCGCGCGCACGTACCCAGCAGGCGGACGGGGAGCGGACGCAGCTGACGCACACGCACGTGCAGAGTAAAGGGACGCGGTGCAAATTATAATGGTCGTCCGCACGCCCACAGAGGTCAGTCATGGTCACGGCGCAAGCGCGCGCGCGCGCGCGCGCACGCACGCACGCACGCACGCACGCACGCACGCACACACACACACACACACACACACACACACACACACACACACACACACACACACACACACACACACACACACACATATTGTCCAGGGAGTGGTGCATCAAGTCAAATGGCAAACAACACACACGCACTCCACACAGGCAACCTGTTGTCATGATTTAAAAAGCAGACGTCCATGACGCGGCAGGAACGGTTCACAAATTCCATTTCGCAACGATCACACTTCACACCAAGATTAATCTCATCGACGACAGCACTGCCGCACCGCACAGCCGACACGCCACAGCGTCGCCCCCAGCGCGGCGCCACGGCGACGGGGATGCCTCCCTCCCTCTCTCCGGCCGGGCCGCGCGCCGGCGCCGGCGCGGTCGGGAGGGAGTTCTCGCGGCACCAGTCGGGAGTCGGGACCCACCAGCGGCGAGTTCTCGTGTGCGTGTGTGTGCGTGGACAGAGTCGGGACCCACCAGCGGCGAGTTCTCGTGGCACCAGAAGCCGCCGTCGTCGCTGGGCGCGTCCAGGTAGCGGATATGCAGCCGGCGGCCGACCACCTGGCTGACGGCGGCGGCGCGCACCTGGCCGATGCAGTTCTTGTCCACCACCTCCACCACCTGCTCCTCGCGCAGGCTGGAGCCCAGGCTGCGCAGCACCTGGCGGCCCGGTCACGACGTGTCGCTCCAGCTCAAGTTGAGTCATATGGGGTTACTCGGGGGCCCGGACAGGCCACGGCGCGACCTGAGCACCCCACGTATATGCGCGTCGCACTGGGTTAAACTTCAACTTTTGGCCGATGCAGGGATGAGAAAATCTGCTTCCACGGACGTTCAAGAAATCGGGGACAGCAAACTACCAGATACATAGCAAAAAGCTAATGGGCGCTGACTGCAACCCACCATACCCAACAACAGGCCAACCACCAGAACATTTGCAGAATGTCAAGTGAAAGAGAACGCAGGTTGGTTCATACATCTGGGTGCTTAAATCACTGGTAAACATCTGAAGCTACCACGAGCAAACCTCGCTTAATCTATGCCATATTGGGCAGTGCTCTCCAGTGGTCAACTCGACAAATGCAGCTACATTATGATGGAACTTGGCACACAGGGTGAACAGTACTGTAGCAGAAAATGATAGACTGAGTACAGACAGCGGTGACTTTGCGGCGGAATTCGGCAGCAGCGTGCGTGCGTGCGTGCGTGCGTGCGTGCGTGCGTGCGTACGTCCGAACGTGCGAACATCCTTATGATGGCGGACTGGTGGCAGAAAAGTCGCCCTCACATTGAGGCCAGCGGGCAGTGCTACCTCATAAAGGGCGCTGACAGACGCGCCGACAGGTGGTGCTACACAGTGATGACAGCTGGCAGGCGGCGTCATAATGCGACGGGCAAGTCGATCTACAGTGTCGCCCTGTGATGCACACCGGCGGGACAGCTACACTGTGGCGGGCTTCGTGTGACGCCGGCTCGGCGAGCGGGCCAGCTGAGGCGGCCTTACCCGGTGATGGAAGTTGGTGGGCAGCGTGCGGGCGCCGGTGAGCCTCTTCACCAGCAGCTGGCTCCAGTCCGCGTGCCGGCTGGCCACGACCGGCGGCGGGATCAGCGGGCGGCCCTGCGTGGCGTACCAGCCCACCGGGTGCACGTCGTCCGAACACAGGTCCAGCCAGCGGCCGGCGCTCTCCTCCGCCGTCAGGCCTTCGTAGCGCACCAGGCCGCGGTAGCCCTCCACGCGCAGCACGGTGCCCACCCAGCAGGCGGGCTCGAGGCCGCCGCCCGGCGGCTCGCTCACCACCTCCACCTTGAGGCCGACGCACACGTAGTCCCAGGCGGCCGCCAGCGGCGCGTGCCGGAAACAGGGCACGGGCGCGGCACTGAAGTCCGCCTGGCGCAGCAGGCCGTCCCAGCTGAACGAGTGCGCCACCTCGCGGCGCGGCGCCGGCTCGGCGTCCGGCGAGCCGGCCGAGTCGGCCGACAGCGGCGACTCGGGCGGCGCCGGCGCCTCGGGCGTGGCCGGCGCCGAGTCCGGCTCGGCCGCCAGGCCCTCCACCGAGCGCGCGCAGCTCAGACTGCAGTACTTGCGCTCGCGCGTGTAGAACGCGTGCCGCACGCCGATGGCGCCGCACTTCTGACAGCGCGCCATGCCGTCGCGCACGATCGGGATCAGACTCGGGTCGACGTCCTTCTCGTACGTGATGGGGCCCTTCAGCTTCAGCTTGGGGTCCAGGTGTACCTGGGGGCGCGAGGCGGTCAGACGCGCAGCATCGCACCGCCCGCTCCCGACCGACGCGCGGTCAAAAGGGCGGCGCGCAAACAGCCGACGTGCGGCTGCTGTTTCTGAGCCAACTGCGACGAATATCACGGAGAAAGGCGTTTTACGCGCCAGGTCACCGCAACGCTACAACGCCATGCCGAACACAAACTCGAACCTAACACGGACTTGTGCCATATAATGAAAATACAATGATGTACCCACGGCAGCACCCCGCGCGCCTGACTAGACGTGACTCGACGAACGACACGCGCGACCGACACGCGACAGCTCGTCACACAGCCCAGCTGCCCCCTATCTTAGTCAGCCGTCTCCCCTGCGTGCCCACACCCACACACGCAGTGCCGCCCCCACATCGCACCCATCGGCGGCCAGCCGGCCCCGGCCACGCACCTTGGGCTTCTTGGCGTTCTGTGTGGTCTTGCGCCGGGCGTCGGGGCCGCCGGCCGCCTCCTCCTCGCCCGCCTCCAGCTCCATGTCGTCCGGCTTCAGCTCCGGGTCGTAGCCGCTATACTCCTGGCGGCCCGGAACGGAGTCAGCCGTCGGCCCGGCTCACGCGGCGGCGCAGCTCGGCTCCGACCGCAGCCCAGCAGCGCCCGGACACACGCGGCTCAGGCGGCGGCGCAGCCCCGCTCAAGTGGCGGCGAGCCCGGCTCCGACCGCAGCCCAGCAGCGCCCGGACACACACGGCAGCCTTACAGTGCAAATGCCATCCATAATCTTGTGGGATGTTTTTCTTAATAAAAAAACCTGACAGCTGCCGCGGATAATGAACAGTGTGATACAATACGATATTTTTACGTGCACTGTTGCCACTTTTGAAGGGCAATACACTCATCATTGTGTTGCCGATGCATAAGAAAGCTATTCAAACATGATGAAAGCATGTATAAATACATTGGAGCAATCCAGGATACAGCAGATCTTCCAACAATGCCCCATAACCGATCCGTGCATCATCATGAATGACAAGAACACTATGTTACCAATACATATACTATATAATATATTATATATATATATATATATATATATATATATATATATATATATATATATATATATATATATCGCGCCTCCCTCTCCCGCCGCCTCTCACCTGGTACCCCCACTCGGCGAACTCGTGCGGCACGGTGCCAGCCATATCGTGCGGCGCCGTCTGGTCGCCGGCGGCGCCGCCCCCGCCGGCGCCGCCGCCGCCGCCGCCGGGCGCCGGCAGCAGCGACACGGAGCGCGGCGTGTCGCTGAGCATCGGCGCCTCCAGCACGTTGTTGAGCATCACGTCGTTGATGTCGGTGGTGAGCAGATAGGGCGCGGCGCCCGTGGTGGCGAACCAGCTCATGTTGTACTCCATGGCGCCGGCCGAGCAGCCACCTGCCGGCGGCGGCTGCCAACTGAGACGGGCGGCGGGCACGCGGCCGCCAGAGGGCATGCCAGTCGCTGAAGGCACGCCGAGAGCGCGAACACTGACCGTGGCACAGTGCAAACTGGGAATCTCTATGAGGACAGTAATTCACACTATTTCTGGTTCAAATTATTATGTGAATCACAAATTACACAAAAGTGTGCCATTGTCAGCTGAAAGAAGTGCAATTCAAAAATGTTTGACAAATATTGAAGGTTGGATGAAACTAGGGGGTAGTTTTGTTGCATGTCAATGTTTCTTTCTCCAACTGCAACATCTTACATTACAAATGATGAACATACATTCTAATAAAATAAAAAAAGATGCATATCACCATATGATCTCATGTTCTGGGATGCATAACTAGAAGAAAATTAAAGAACAGAATGTTTCACCACTAGCAAAAAACACAATTTAATGCTTTCAGTAACTACATGAGTGTTTATGTTACTCAAACCACACTCACACAATGTGACATGCAATGTTAGAATTGCAGGACATATAAAAAGCATACATAGATAACTAACTTCCACAGTTGGAGGCACAGGTGTTAAATGTTCCCAAAATCCCCAAAATATCATAGAATTATCCCATTGGTGGACAAAATGTCAATCTAAACAAAATGTCAAGGTGCACATAATACACAAACTACTCAGTATCCCCCCTGACATTATGACAAAAATTGTATATTAAGTTTCAGGGCACTCAAACTTTCATACAATCCATGGCAGAAAGCTGACAGACTGACCATTACAAAAAGCACCATCAAACATGGCTTGGGGTTATCAGGCAAAATCATGTTCTGAGAATCTGTCATGCAGTTCACGCATCTGAGTGTGGTTTTGTGAAGACGTAGCAGGTATGTCATGCGTACACTTTCCAGCATACCTTAATATTTTGCAAAAACCACAGCTTATGGTTTCACCCATCTAGCACTTAACATTCAGCACTTTGGAAAATAGCATTGCACTAAGTTTGACTTGGTCCATGGTGAAACCATTACCACAGCTTCAAAAAACTTTGCCAATGAGTGTCTTTTAATTATATTACAGCAAAGTGTGAAGCACTTTCCACTGCACATGACCAAGCTGTCATGACCAAAGGGTATAAGAATTTGATTTTACAGTATTAGATGCTAGAATTGCATTTAATACCCTTTGATCATTGGTTCCATACATCATAGAGATCATTCATCAGGAAAAGGTAACAGTTTTATAGTTACTATCACATTTAAGGGGAGTGCTCCACATTCACAATTGGGGTTTTGGTCTGAAATAGCCATCCTGAAGACCTTTTAGTGCTATTCAGGAAGAGTATTTCATTGGGAAGAGAATTTCAGGAAGAGTATTTCAGAGTCACCTTGGCATCTATGATGTCACAATATTAAAGACTTTCAAATCCTGCCATTTCATAAGCCATGCAGTGATCAAAGTAAATAAAAAATTGTCAAGGTCTCCATATCTGGCATTTGTGAGTGAAATTTGCAGAATTGTTACTGATAAAGGCTGTCAGTTGGCTCTCAGTCCATGTTGTGCAAGGTAAAATGATGTAATTACACTATGACACATTGAGGAGTACATTTTCCTTAACAGAGAACTGTGCTGTCTATAGTGGTGTTCCAGCTTAAAAATTACAGCAATAGTCATAATTGAGTTTGTTTCATCATATCTAATGCTTGCTTCACAATCTTCAAATGCAAAGCATTCCTTTTAAGTATTTAACAGATAAGGAGGATTCTTTACCACAAACAAGAAATTGCAAGCATGACTTTAAAAAAATGGTAGCCAGAAATTGCAAGCATCTCAAGTATTATACCTGAAAAATATACCTGCCTGGAAAGATTGCTATTACAACCCAAATGAGCATTGTAACATAAACATACAGTTCATACAAGATAAACATTACACCATATTAAACCTAAAGGCTGAAAGAGGCAAGAATAAAGGAAACCAATGTGAGTTGTCTAATAATTGCCCCATATTTGACTTACTTTCTGATGCTAGAAGCTGTGGACTAAAGATTCACTCTTGATTTATTCTTATAGATTTACCAGTTAATGCTTACATCATATAGTTTTGACTTAAATTCTTTTTAATCCCTGCACCCTGGGACAAAACCATCTTTTATGTCCAGTGATACCAAGACACAGCTTAAAGAACAACATGAATACATACATGTGGAATTTTTACACAAACTCAAACAATTCTTCCAACACAGGTTAGCAGATTTCAATATAATATGAACACCCAACTTAACAAGTAGTGACAGTGATTGTTCAGCACTACCTCAATAAAAAACATTACCTTACAATGCATTATACCAGTCCCTTTGCAAAATTGACTGATTTATAGACCTTGTCAGAGAGCACTTTAACTTGGTGTTTTGGTTGGATGGCATCTTGCACAGTTATAATAACAATCATACAATAAAGTTCTTCACACCCAAATTCAACTCAGCCATTGCCACTCACTATTACAAAATACCCTCAACTTCAACATGAGGTAGATAAAATCTACATCATAAATTGGCTTTAAATATGTTTTGTATTCATTGCCTGTCAAAGTGTTCAGCTGAGCAAAAACATGTCACTTATCCTAGAAGTAGCAAATGCAGACTATAGCTTCAACCTGACCCTGAGATTTATACCAAAATTTGTAATTTACCAATAAATGAAGCAAGCATCAAATATGTTCATTAACAATGATGGACAGATACAGCAGCAAGAAGCAGCAGACAAATGCCCTTTTCTCATAACAAACCAATTTTAGCCTAGTGCTAATGCATGAAAAAATGTGGCACTCAGCCTGCTCCACTGCTTCTTAAGGACTGTCACTGCTAATGACAGGGAGAAAATGTGACATATAAAAATAATCCACTGCATGGTAAAATGTACCCTCAATTTGAAATCATACCCCATGCCAAACATGAAAGCTAAAAAGTTTAGATATGTGAAACCCTGCCTTTCAAAGTATCACTAAGGCATTACCTGACTTGTGATTTGATAACTTACACTATAGAACCAAATGGCCAGTGATCACAAAAAAACATGACTTTTACTGGAATGTGCATGTCTTATTTGTTTATCAGCAAAGCGGGTTCCTCAAGATTAAGTAATGCTGCTCCTCACTTTTCCCATAAGACAACTTCACTTCAAAAGTCCACACCACAGCTCAACAGCTCTAGAGCACAATTACAACTGGATCCAATGCCAGCAAACAAAAAGATCATCCCAGATGGCACTGTAATGAGGTACATTGTTAAATCCTGAGTGAAATAATTGTTCCAAATGATGGAATATGATTTACCTTCAATCAAATCCTTTACAACAGTTTGCAAATTTTTTTAATAGCAAAATGTCATTTTCTATGTTAAGAGCTGCCATTCAAACATAACCAATGAACTTAAGATAACAAATGTCATAGCTACCCAGTAACGTTTCATTCCAACTAAATCAGGAAAAAGAAAACCTTAAAGCATTCAACCCTGGGCGGAAATGGACAACATCGAGCAATCCACAACATAAACAAAGACCACGCTTCTCAGGACACATTTCGCGCACAAAACCGGCGCAGTCCGTTTGAATTGAATTTTACCAACCCAGCTCAGAAGATTGGACTTGTGATGTCTTCTTGACACTTCTGCTCTGATGTTCTGGTGTTGAAACATAAATTCACGAAACAAAACAAGCTTTTACATAAAAATAATGCATTTTTGCGCACCACCGCAACACCATTCCAATTCGCGGCAATTGCGCCGCACAACGGCACGCGAGATCGTTTGTGTATCAGCATATGCAGACGAATCCTTGTCATAATTACTCTTTTAATTTTTTTGATATTTTCATATCTTATGCCAATGCTCATCAGTATTTAGTGTACTTCATAAAAATTGGACATGATGAGAACATTTCGTTGCAATTACGAATCAAATTCAGCATATATAATCAGCATCGCTTATGCTGAATGTTTATTGTGCATTTTTGTTTTATCAGCAGCGCATACCGCACCCGTTCTTCGCACTTCCGAGCATGTTTGATATTGGTAGGGGCACAATCGTGATTTTTTAAGGGAACCCAGAGCTCATTGAAAAGGTATCCCGCCGATTTGCATCTGTCAGGGTGCCATCTAAAGTGAAAAAGGGTAAATGCGCCCTACTGCCCCCTGGCTATGCTTATGCTTTACTTGCCCCTTGGTTATTCTGCCGTCCAAAGGCAAAACGGCCTAAGAACCATTAGTTAACGAAGTACTTGAGTTTACAAAGTACTAAAATGGCATCCTTTGTCTTTTGGACGGCGGACTTCCATGAAAGCCAAACAAAGGTGCTGCAATTGGGTCTTCTGATCATCATTTTTAATGCATCATTTTGTGAATTCACCAGAAAAGTGCAATGGGGAATAGATTCATGGGAATCCGAGTCGAGCCGCTCAAGGCCGACGCTTTTAGAACCACCTTTTAACGACACTGAACAGCAGGATTTCCAGGTGCTGGCAAAACCAACACGGAGCCTACGATGTGCGAATGCGGAAATGCTGAACAATCCGCATTTACCTCGATGAGTTATGGGGCTAGTCACCGGATTTAGGACCATGTCCGCCGTTCGCTAATCCAGCCGATCTAATTGCGGCCTCATGGACCACCTACTCTTTTCGCGAGGGCGTTTGGCAAAACAATGGCCTTCAAATTTCTCGCGGCAGGGTCGACTCCTGTCCTGGACAGCGCCAGCTCCCGTCAGTACATCCAGCGGCATAGCACTCACCGTCCACCACCGCAGCACTCCCAGTCAACGCATCGTGTATTGTCATCATATGAGGCTACAACCAAAAATACCGCCCGGCTTCGGTCGAGGTGACGTAAAACAACGCGCCATGCCGCGGGTGCGACGCTAGCTAACAGGCACTCGGCAGTGTAGCTGGGCTCCTCGGCTGCCCAGCACGGGGCCGCGAGCAGACGGACGGCAGCGCGCGCGCACGACCCGGACCAGTGACATCATCAGGCGGTGAAAAGTTGCGAGCTAACACCAGCAAGCCTGGGCGAGTCGCCGGCGCCGCCCTCGGCCCACCACAGCTCGGCGAAAAGCTGTGATAGCGCGCCCGAGTGCAACGGCCCGAGTGCAACGGCGCGACAGCGGCCCGTTCGTCACGCCTCTGCGCACAAGCCGCGGGCGTCCACGCGCACACCAGGTCCGAGCAGAGGCGACAGTCCGCGTGGGATGCGGACCAAGTCCGATCGGGATCCGCCGCTGCCCACGGCTCTGCAGAGCGCACATCCCGCGCAACAGGTGGCGGGCTCGCCGCCGGCCAGCCGCGTCGCCGTGCAGAGCACACGCTCGGTGGTTAGTGTAACGGTAACGCAACATAGAATCAGCGGTCGCTACGCCAGTCAACATTGCTTCCACACCGCCGCGCCAGTCTGGGGCACCCGAGTCTATGTTCTCCCAGTCAGTTTTGATAACGCGTTTGGATGAGAACGCTGTCGCCGGTAGAGAAAACCGCGTATGGAGTTGAAAGGATGAAGTTGAGCGCTGTCGCGGATAGAGGAGACCGGATATGGAGTTGAAAGGGATGGAGTTGACCGCTGTCACGGATAGAGGAGACCGGATATGGAGTTGAAAGCTGTCGCGGATAGAGGAAACTGTTTATAGAGTTGAAAGGGATGGATATAGACAGCGAAAGACAAAAACACGACCGGGGCGAGAACCAGGCGGTGGGGGCTGTGGACAGGAGAAACAAACAAGCAGACGAACACACAGGAAGAGCGACAGCCAGTCCCAGCACACAACGGAGTATCCGACACCCCCAGCGAACCATTGCAACGGAGCCCAGCATGCAAACCTTCGGAGAAATGCTCAACCCGCTTTCAACACAATGCGGTTTGTGGAAGTTTAAATCACAGACAGTTAACATCGTCCTCGCCGTGTGACCTCGTGTGACCTGGGCAAGAGGACAGACCGGTCGCATGGCTGCGTCTCCCCGACCTTCCTGGCTGTTTGTACAAGCACGAGAGTTACCGCATCCAACACATTTCGGATGCTACCAAACCGCATCAGAGGCAATGCGCGTCCGTTGAAAGGCCGCCCCAGTTCAGGCGATTAATAACGTTGATAAGTTAATCTGGGCTGCTACTAGCACTTAGAGTCTACACAGATAAACGTCTCATATAACGCTAACCCACGCTGTGCAACGAACCACTTCCGATAAACTGTGAGAACAATCCACGGAGTACCGCTAAGGCCACCTCAAAAGGCCGGCCGCTCCGTACAACAGTGACCGCGGACATGCGGCGGGACGGCTCCAAACATGTTAACGAGGCGAGGACAACGCGCAGGTCATCTATCCATATTCAAGGGCAATTCACGGCTTCGCGAGTTTGCATACGAATGCACCAGGCCACGGCGCGCCACCGCGTGGAACCAACGAGTGTAGTTAGTTGTATCTCTTTCCGCCATACGCCCAGTGACAACATGACAGCGGCATCCGGCCGTCCAACCCACGTAGGCCTCCGAATCAGCTATTCCGGCCCACCCAAACACACCTCAGGAGCGGAGCTCCAGCCCACGTCCTACAACAGATGGCGCCACCTGTCGGGACCGGCGGCTTAGAACGTCTCGCCGGCGTCGCACTGGTCGGCCGTGTGGCCGAACATCTCGCAGGCCATGCAGAACTGGCGGCGCACGCCGCGCGCGCCGCCGTGCCGGCTCGGCGGCGGCTCCTCGGGCGTGCTCGCCTGCGTTGGGCACTCGTCCGTGTCGTGGCGGTCGAACTCCTCGCAGATGTCGCACCACAGCCGCGGCGGCGGCCGCGCGGGCGCCGCCGGCGACGCCGCCTCCTCCTCCTCGTCCTCGTCGCCCACCGCCAGCAGGCGCACCTGGCGCGTCAGCTCGTCGTTCCTGCCCTGCAGGTCGGCGATGACCGAGTTCAGGAAGTCGACGTGGCCGGCCGCATCGGCGGCGCCGTTGGTGAGCGGCACGGCCGGCGCCGGCCGCGCGCGCTGCTGCACCTCCAGCAGCAGGCGCCGACTGGTCTCGGCTTCGCGCCGGGCGTCGTCTAGCTCCTGCTGCTGTCGCTCGAGCTCCTCCCGCTGCTCCAGACGGACCGCCACCACGTCCCGGTCCCTGGAGTCGAGCTCCTCGTGCAGCTGCTCCAGTTTGGCTTCCTGCTCCCGCCGAAATGCTGCGTTTTCTCGTTCCGTTGAGTTCAGTTTCTGCTTGAGACGTTCCAGTTCCTGCTTTTGCTCCTGCCCGACTGCAGCAGAGTCCTGTTTCTTGGAGGCCAACTCCTGTTCAAGTCGCTCCAGCTCCTTCTCCAACTTTTGCCTCGACGCAGCGCCGTCTGCCTCCTTGGAAGCCAATTCCTCCGTCAGCCGCTCCAGCTTCCGTTTCTGCTGCTGTTGAATCGCAGTAGCGTCTTGCATTACGGACTCCAGCTCCAGCTTCAGCTTCTCCAGTTCCTCCTGCTGTTCCTGCCGAGCCGCGGCGCTGTCTCCTTCTTTGGACGACAGTTCCTTCTTGAGCCTCTCCAGTTCCTTACCCTGCTCCTGTCGGACCACAGCAGCATCCTCCTCTCTGGAGTCACGCTCCTGCTTCAGTAGCTCTACCTCTTGTCGAAGCCGTTGCAGCTCCTCCTGCTGGCAGCTGGCCTCGGCGCGCCGCTCGTCGCCGGCAGCTGCGGAGCTGCGCTGCAGCTGTCGCAGCTGGTCAGCGACTCGCCCCGCCTCGGCGCGCCGCTCCTCCAGCCGGCGCTCAGTCTCGGCCAGCTTTGCGTCGACCTCGGCGCGGCCGTCCGTCAGCGCGGCGACGGCGGCGCTCTTCTCGTCGAGCTCAGCTCTCAGCCGCTCCAGCTCCGCCCGACGGCCGTCCGCCTCTCGCTGCGCGTCCCCGCTGGCCGTCACCTGCTGTGCCAGCCGCTCCTTGTCGGCCCGCAGCGCCGCCAGCTCTGCCTCCAGCTCCGCCAGCTGCCGCTCGCGGTCTGACAGCGTCAGCTGTCTGTCGGCCGCCTCCTGCCGCAGCGTCGCCTCCGCCTTCCGACTTCGCTCGCACGCCTCGGCGGACGCGGCCAACCGAGTCGTCGCCGCGGCCCGCTTTCTCTCCCACTGCTCGGCGTCCCTCGAGCCGGCCGCGGCGCTCTCCTCCACGCGCTGCAGCAGCGCCTTGTTCTCCGCCGCCAGCGAGTCTGCCTCCGCCGCCTTGCCGTCGGCGAAGTCCTTCAGTGCCGTGACGCGCTCCTTGAGCAGCTCGCCGTCACGGCGCCACGTGTCCAGCTGCGTCTGCAGCTGATCGGCGCGTCTCTCGGCCGCCTGCTGCCGACCTGTCGCCTCGCGCAGCTGACGCTCCAGGTCGTCGCCGCGCTGGCGCAGCTCGGCTAACTCGGCGCCGTCAGTGGCGGCGGCCGGCGCCGGCCGCTCGCGACGCTTCTCCTCGGCCAGCTGCGCCTCCAGCTCGGCGCGCAGCAGCGACTGCTCCTCGGCGTTGAACTGCAGGTCCTCGGCGCGGCGCTGCTCGTCCTCCAGGCGGCGCAGCAGCGCCGTGCGCTCAGCCTCGACGTCGGCCTGGTCGCGCGCGGCGCGCTCCGCCGCCCGGCGCAGTCGTCGGCGGCCCGCCGCCAGCGCACGCTGCTCGTCGGCGCGCTTCTTCAGCTGCGCCCGCAGGCTGGCCAGCTCGTCGTCCGCCTCGTGCCGCACGCGCGACGCCTCTCCCTCCAGCAGCATGATGCGCTGCATGTTCTCGTTGATGTCGGCGGCGGCGCGCGCCGCCTCAAGGCGCACCTCGTCGCGCTCCTTGGCCAGCGTGCGCACCTCGTCGGCGCGCTCGCGCTCCGAGCGGCGCGCGGCCTCCAGCGCCGCCTTCGCCGCGTCGCGCTCGCCGTCCGCCTTGGCCAGAGCCTGCTGCAGCGCGGCGGCACGGTCGTCAGGCGGCGCGCCTCCTCGCTGCGCGAATCGCCGGCGGCGCTCTGCTGCTCCAGCTGGCCGCCGCTGCTCTGCCAGCTCGTTGCGCAGCAGCGCCCGCCTCCTCGTGCAGCCCCTGCTCGGTGCGGCTGCTGAGCGCCAGCTCTGCGGCGCGCTCGTCCAGCAGCCGCTGCTGCTCGGCCAGCTCGGCGCGCAGCCGCTCCGCCTCGGCGCGGCCGGCGGCCAACTCGTCGCGCGCCGCCGCCAGCTGCGCCTGGTGCTCGGCCTGCAGGCGCGCCGGGTCGCCGCCGGCCGCCTGCAGGCGCAGCAGGTCCGCCTGACCGCGCGCCGCCTGCAGCTGCTCCGCCTGACGCGCGGCCGTCCGCCTGCGCGGCGGCCAGGCGTGCCTCGAGCTCGGCGCGCACGATGGCCGCCTCCTCAGCGGAGAACTGCAGCTCCTCCGCGCGGTGGCGCTCGTCCCTCAGCGTGTTCTGCAGCTGCGCGTGCGCCTGCTCCAGATCGGCCCAGCCGCTCCTTGAGGCGCGCCGCTTCCGCCGCCGCCTCCTCGCGCTCCCGCTTCGCCGCCAGCACCTTTCACCTCACCGTCGTCCACCAGGCTGGCGGCGCGCACCACCTCCGAGGTTCCATGTCGCGCTCGCGCAGAAAGCTGCTCGATGTGCTCCTCCTTCTCCTTGAGCACCTGCTGCAGTGCGTGCGTGGAGGCGGCGGCGGCGCCGGCGGCGCGCGCGCGTGGCGTGGCCGCAGCGGCGCGCGCCGCCGACACGCGCGACGCCTGGCTCGCCACCGACTGCAGCGACTTCTCGCGACGTGGAACGGCGCAGCGCGTGCACGCCCATCTTCTGCGAGCTGCGCCGCGCCGGCCGGGAGATCTTGTGGGCAGGCGCGAACAGGCCGTAGTTGGGCCGGCACGAGAAGTAGCGCTTGCCGGCCACGGTGCCGTCGTTCTTGCCCGAGGGCGTCTCCAGCTCCACGCCCGCCCACTGCCCCTCGGCGAATTCGGTCTTGCCCAGGTAGCGTAGTAGGCCCGTCTTGGAGCCAGAGCTGCTGGAGACAATCACCTTATCACCCAGCTCCAGGTCCTCACCAGGTGAGGAGATCATTGATGAATCCATGGGGCTTGTGACCATTGATGCATTGGTGGCTCGTGTTCCCATGGCAATTGAGGACCTTCTGGAGCTAGGGACAGAGCGTCCATCTGCCACGGCATCTGCTTCAGCTCCAGTGCTGCCCAGGGGTGTCCTGCTCAGCTTGGTCAGTCTGGAGAAAATACCCCTGTTCTGCTCACACATGAAGTAACGGACACCTGCCACTGAGCCATTGTTCTTGCCATCAGGGGTGTCCAGAACAACACCAGCCCACTCACCTGGGGCAAACTGGGTCTCCCCAATATACATAATCTGACCAGGTTTTGTTCCGCTTACCCAGACTCTGTCCCCCAACTCTGAAGCTGGATGTATCTGCTGTCAATACAGTGGCATCTGATGGTTTTCTTGGGCATCTGATGGCCTTCTTGAGACATCTGATGGCCTCCTTGGGGTGTCAGATGGCTTCTTTGGGGCCTCTGCTCCAGGGTGACCACAGCTGAAATGTTGTGGATCCCCATTTTGTCTTGCCAACCCAGCTGTGGGTCTGGCTAGCCTGCTTGGGGGCTTTACTCCAGACATCTTTCTTGCAGAATCCATAATAGCTGGTTGATCAATCTCCACAGCAGCAGCAATGCCCAAAAGAGCTGGGCGTTGTCCTCAGTTCTTGTTACACACAATGCATTCAGTCCCAGCAACAATCAACACCCTTCCAAGGAAGCTTGAGTGAAAGTACTTACTTCAGCAAGACACAGGTTAATCAGGTCTTCAGATGCCTACAGCTGCAGTCAATTGTGCACCTAGGAAGATCCCCTAAGCCACTACATGCCTTTCTTCCTAGACAAGACGCATTTCCAAGTCACTATTGAAAATCACACCAACAGGTGACACCACATCGCGTGGACACGCCACTCCCTCTCCAAGACATGCACAGCTGTAAAATGTGTCACGCCACGCAGACGCCAAGGCCGTGGATATGTCTCTATGAATCATCCCAACCACCGAGGAATCCACGCTATGCAGGCAGTATCCCATACAAGGCTACGACCGCGGACGCTCGCCCTACAACCATCAAAACAACGCAAGTGACAATCGAAAGTGAGCCAATTGGGCGGTGTCCAGATCACGGAGATGCTGATCGCCTCAAGGTTTTCCTGCTTTCGACCAATCACATACTCGTTGGGAATATTTGGCCCAATTGAACAACTAGAATAATGCAGTTTCTTGCATGAGAGCAGGTGTGAACAAGATGCAAAAGTTCCACATATAGCAAGAGCCTTGAAAAACAGGACAAACCTTGCGCCATAGCGACGCTTCAGTGCTTTTGAGTTCCGGAATATGTGCATTCGGGGGTTGTCTGGGAGCGTGGGGCTATTTTCGATGGAGTGTTTAACTGTTCACAATGGCTGCTGACCTTCACATATTTTTCAGCTACCTGTCTTGCGTAAGTAGTCTAATCTGCTTAGCCACCATTCATATCGAAATATGGTCTTGGTTTTGACCGGTTTGACAGTAATGTGCCCTTCCTGAAAGTCTTGAAGCCCCGGATTTTGCAAACAGTTTCGAGGCTCTTTATCTACTTTGCTTGGTTTTTGAAGATCGTCAATGCCATGAAAAGATAATATTCTGAGGGAGAATGACCTTGGCATTACATATTGGCTAAATTTCCCAGGCTGGCATGCCATTATGAAATGACATTGGGTGTCTGAGATATCAGCATTGTCCCCCCCATGGCTGAGGGAGGGCTTACATGACCAGCTTGCACATAATATGATTTGCATGGAAAACTTCAGCTTATGTATGAGATGATGTGATATCAGTCATTCATTAACATATTTCTTTTACTTCAAAATCAATAGTTGGTCATTACTAGGCTGTAAATGGAGCCAACCAACCAAAGCTTACCAAATTGGAGCTGATGGTCTGTTTACGCATGAAAAGGGTGACTTCACTTTACCTTACCTTATGGGTGGTGGAAAATCATGAGGTAGGGTAGCACATGGGTCACACTCCCTTCAAGCTCTGATTTGTGTGCTCTTTTCCACTGGCTGTGTAGGTCTGATGGTCTGTGAATCAGGGGTGTAGCTTTATGGAAGAGGTGCGGGTGCTGAGCAGGGCAAGATGGCTTAAACTGATGGCCAAAAATATGCCAAAAAACATTTTCTACCCAGATTTGGCTCACTTTCTAAAGAGGATTGAAACCTTGCTTCTAAAGCTGGAGTTGAGACATGAATGATAAATTGGTGGTACACCTGCTTTTTGTCCTAGTTTTTTTATTTTATTTTAGAGGCTGATATCTGCTTTCTGTCTGTTTCAGTACCCTGACTTGATAAGAGCCACATCAGATGATGCCAGTCCAACACCTGGGTACCTTCTACACAAAATATCAGGTGAGCTGAATTGCACTTTATTGTTAGATTACACAACTAGTTTCAATATAACTAGAACACAATCCAATCATTTTCTGCAACATGTGCTCATTTTATTGATGATTGCAACTATTGATTGCACACCACAATGTTGTTCTGGTTTTTGTGACAAGAAATACTTAGTTGTGAAGAGGTATCCATGTTAACTTGTCAATACACATTGTTGCTCAAGCTATAAATGTTTGTGCTCAAAGAGGTTATAGGTTTGGTAAATGATTTGTTATTTTCTTTTGAAATCATTATATTTTTAGGGTGTGTGCCATATCCTTTTGGTGGATGGTTGTAATACATGATTCTGACCTGGCTGTTTCATCAACATTTTGAAGTATTGTGCTAAGCCAACACCAGCAATGACCACATTCAAACAGTGCCACTGACCTGGGCAGCCATGACCCTCTGTTGTTCCAGTGGTGACCCCATTGGTTACAGAGGTGACCCTCACCTCGCCTGCCCCAGACGCCCAAAGTTGGTAGACTTCATGGTGGTCCGTCTGCAGGAACCCGTCCCTCACCGACTGCCAAACTGAAGGTGATGTAACTGGGATAAGTCTTTGCCTGGAATCTCTGAGGTGCCATGTCTTGTGCTGTACTGTGTTGAGCCACAAACCCTTTACTGGATTGTATCAGTGTTTGCGCTTCCGACCCGCAGTCAGACGCCCGGACCCACTGTTGACAGAGCCTCTGCTAGATGTTATACTGCCACACTGCAGACCCTCCATCTGATCCCACACTGCCACACTGCAGACCCTCCATCTGATCCACACCACCACACTGCAAGACCCTCCATCTGATCCCACACTCGCCACACTGTGGACCCTCCATCTGATCCCACACTGCCACACTGCAGACAGTCTGACTGATCCCACACTGCCACACTGCAGACCCTCCATCTGATCCCACACCACCACACTGCAGACCCTCCATGTGATCCCACACTGCCGCGCTGCAGATCACTCCATCTGATTCCAACACCGCCACCTCGCAGACCCTCCGTCTGATGCTGTACTGCGCGCGCTACGGCGGGCCCCGAGTTCCGCCGGCTGCTGCGGTCACGTGACGGTGACGTCACGGCGGCCAGCCGGCGTGCGGCCCGGCCGACCCGGTGCTGGGTGCGACGCCGCAGCTGTGGGTCCGCTCCACCTCTCAGGTAAGCTTGGCTCGGCCCGAGGCCGACCACGCTGTCCGAACCGAGCGTCGCGCGTGCGGAACGAATGGCAAGTGCGTCATCACAAGCGGCTGGTTGGCGTTGCGTGAGCGGTCAGGAGTGCTGGTCAGTGGTGTACGCGGCGCGGTTCGTCGTGCCAGCTGCTGGCCGGTGACGCTTCAAACGTATCGTCAGGAACGAGCCGTCATAGCACGGCTGTCAGCAGGAGCCGCCGCTCGGTGAAGCGCCGTGTCCGTCGACGGGAGTGGGCGGTGCTTGATGCGCGCGCTGCGTCGTCAGGAGCTGCTGGCGCTGCTCTTCTCGTCGGCTGACGAGGCGGCGGGTCCGCGCGTGCCGGCGCCCGGCCTCGGGCCGGCCACGCCCACGTCCGGCCAGTACCAGGGCTTCGGCGTCTCCACGGCGCGCCGCTCTGGTGAGGCTGCCGCGCCAGGTGGCAGCTTCGCTGTGATAACATGGTTTTCTTACAACCGGGTACGCGCAGACACCCCTGGTTTACTCCGTCTGTTGAAACACTGCGACCGTGTCGATCTTTGATGTTGTTTAGTGGGGTCCCTGGGGACGTGGTCCGCTGAGGTATTGCCCCATGTTGTTTTTGACACCGGTGTGTGTCTGTCACTAGGTGGCGTCCGACTCTCAGCCCGCGTGCGGCAGCTGATGGAGGACGCCCTGTCGCCCCGGCCGCGCCGCCGGCCGACCCGCTCGCCACCAGCAGCGGCCAGTACGAGCCGCCCTCGCCGCCCGCCGTCGGCCCTGCGTCCGAACCGGCCGGCCTGCCGCGGCCGCCGCCGGCCGCGCGTCTCCCGGCCGCGCGCCTTCCGGACCCGCGCCTCCCCGCCCCGCATCCCGCACGAGGTACGCAGCCGGGGCGGGCACGGCCTTCGGTGCGGCGTGAAGCGGCGGTCGCAAAGCCTGGGTGGTGGACCGATCTTGAGGCGGGAGTGTTATAAAGGAGACGCTGGTCATGAAGTGTGGCGTTGTCGCGTTAACGTTTGGCGCATGACACACTGACAGATTTTGCTGGGATGTGATTTCCGCGAGTGATGCCGGCGCTTTTGACCTAACGGTATTGCTCAGTCATTTGGTGTGTAATAGCCGGGCCCGATTTGTCTTGATGGATAGTGCGTCCTCCGCGAGGTGCGGTATCGCCGCTGTGCATCACTGTGAACGGCCCATAGCTCTAGCAAGGCTCCACCCTGTTAGCTGTGCTGTGGGAACATTTCGTCAAGCATTGCCCCATCACGCACTGTTGTGACGCCACATTGTGTCCCTGCTCCCGCTGTCGCCACCGGTCGGATGTTGACCTGTCACCGACCTGGCAGCCGCTGGGCTGACACAGACCTGACACCAGCCGCTGGGCTGACACCGACCTGACACCAGACGTTGGGTGACACAGACCTGACACCAGGCGCAGGGCTGGCACTGATTTGTCACGACCCTGACACACACAGACCTGGAAGTGACTTCTCACCATCCTGAAGCACACCTGACACACGGCAATGCCAATGTCCCGACGTCTGATGCTGACCTGTGAACCATCGCGTCGCCGTCCGCACATCCCCATGTGACCGGTCACCGACTCGTCACCACCCTGATACTCGCCTGACACCGTCACGATACTCACCTGACACCTGATTCATGATACAGCGTGACGCTCACCCGACACCGCCCTGACACTCACCTGACATTCGCCTGACACCACATTGACCCTCACCTGACACCGCCCAATACTCGCCTGACACTCACCTGACAGTCCTGACACTCACCTGACACTCACCTGACACCTCCGTGACACTCACCCGACATGGGCCGGGCCAGGTCACGTGCCGGGCCGCGCCGGCGGCTGTGGGAGGACTCTGACGACGAGCAGCCGGCCTCCGATGACGTCAGCGTCGGCTCGGACGTGGCGGCCGGCATGGAGGCGGCCGACGAGGCGCCGGCCAGGTCAGTCAGCGGGGGGGGGGGACTGGGCCATCGTTAGGTGGCTTGGGGTGCGCTCCGGGGTCTGGTGTTAACACCGGTGATGGCAATGTCATCACCGTGGCCTCAGAATGGGCTCAGCTGGGCTGCAGTGCCTTGGTGGCACGGATACAATGTCTGTAATTCCTGTAATACTTGTAATACATTTGATACCTGAATGATCTGTGATGCCTGTAATGCCTGTAATATGATACGTGTAATACCTGCATGCGTAATGCCTGTTATAATGCCTTTCATCTTGGCATGTGGTATTAGTTGCGTGCAGTATGGAGGTCAGCAGCAAGACATGTCCTGTTTCGAATCCTCCGGTGGTAACTATTCGAACGTCCAAACAACGCGGTTCTGTGACCGGTAGCCATTCGAGTTCGAAGCCCATTGGTGACTTCTCTGCGGCTGCGAATGGGACTGCCGTGCCACTTTGGCGGCTGAGTAGCTGCTACTAGTAGGCTTGGAACAGGCTCATATTTGTAGGAATGTGTGGGTCGAAGCTTACGGGGCAACCAAGGTTAGGGCAACCACGCTTCGGTGTTCTGGCATTCCTGGAACACGTTTTGAGAAGTTTCGTTGAGCTTCCTCGCCGGGCAAGTCGCTGCGTCTTGCACTGTTCGGTGCCACGGCGTCAGCTGGTGTTCGCCTCTGCTGTGCGTCTCGGCGTTCCGCTGGTGGCATGTATCTCAGTGCATTGTCGCCATGCTGCCGGGCGCGCCGTCGGCGTGGCTGCGTCGCGTTCGCCGCCGGCGCGCCGCTCTCACGGCTGCGTTTGCGGCAGGCCGGCCGCCTCGCGCGAGGCGCAGGATGTCTGGGAGTTCTGCCGGCCGGAGCACGGCCCCGTCCGCACCCTGGGCGCCGCCATCGCGCTGGCGAACAGGTAAGCCGACGGCCGCGCGCGCGCCGCTACCGCGCCGCCTCGTGCCGCCGCCGGCCGGACTGCCCGGGCCGCGGCTCTGGTGCTGCGCCGGCCACTGATGTGTGCAAGGGGTGTAGTGTCCTATTCAGTTTGGAGTTTCAGCCCCCGTCCCCCCCTCCCCCTACAACTTGAGCTTCAGCCCCCCCCCCCCAACTTTGGGAAGAAAATGGGCACAATCCGGGGAGTAACTTGTTTTTTGCATGTTTTGGTCAAGTTGGGACACTTCACCGCTCAGCCCCTTCCCCCAACCCATTTTTTTTGCGAAACTACTCCCCTATGTGTGTGTTACGTCCGCGTGCGTCGGACTGTGCAGACTTCGGCGGCTTGGTGTTTGTGTGCGTGCGGTCGTACGTGCGTGCGTGCGTATATGCATACATGCGCGTCCTTTCTGGGTTAAACATGCGGGTTTAGATCTTTAACGTGGACGTCGTCTCTGGCGTAGTGCGAACGAAGCCATGCTACTCGGAATGACCTTTCGGAGTGCAGTGGCTGTGACCTAGGCCCCTACGTTTGGGGTCCGGTTGTGGACCCCAGTTTTGTCATGGCATCCTGGAATCCTGGAATCGCTCCTGAAATCGCTGGCGCACCAGAAAAAGGGAAACTTCCACATGCCTTACTGCTTCTGTACCACTGATGCCAGCACTCGTGTACACATGCTCGACTTGCCGTTCCGTACCCTGGCAGGCTGGCGGTCTGCTGCTCGTGTGACGTCATCGCAGCGCTGACGCAGCAGCTGGCGCGCCCCAGTGACGTCACGCGACTGCGGGCGCTCGTGCTGCTCGACTGCCTGCTCCAGGCGTGGCCGGTGACCGGCGACGGTGGCGCCGCCCTGGCAGCGGCCGTGGCGCCGCTGGCGGCCGCCGCCAGCGACCCGGTTCGAGTCAAGGCCGACAAACTGGGCAAGATCCTGCAGCGGCTGAGGGTGTGACGTCACGACCGACTGGGGATGTGATTGGCTGTGTGGGCCCGCCCGAGCAGCCGGGCCCGACATTGTATTCGGCCACTTGGATGCCAATATTTTGTCACGCTATTACGACCCGGGTGGGCAGATGGGTTAGGCATGTAAGATGTCTGGGTTCAGGGTCAAAGGGAAACGGTTGAGCGCCATCGAACGGCGTGCGGGGGCCGCCGGAGAGCCAGGATTCTGGTGGAACGAATTCATATTCACATCCTGCACGCCTGACTGGGTGAATTTTGGAACGCTGGGATCCGATCCCACCTGAAACGAGGCGCCGCGGTCCAGACGTAGACCGCCAGGCTGGCGCGCGCTCGTTGACTGGACGTGCTCGCCGGCCATAGCAGCGTCCGCGCAGCTGTGAGGCAGCGGCACGACCGCCGCGGGTCGGAGCTGGTTCGCGGGGACGGGTCCGCTTGGGGGTCGGACTTACGGGAGATTGTGACAGG